AAATTGTCCTGGATAGGCATGTGACGGTATCAAATTTTCATGTTTTGCGATAATTGCTGAAGCTTTTTATCACGGTATACGGTGTTATCACGATACTGAAATAAGTTGCAAAAAAGTGTTGTCATAATACAGTATAACCGGTTTAATAACTTTTTTCTTATATAAACAAGAACAGAACATTTAACAATAACAATGTATTGTACAATTTTACAATAAACAACAAAAATGTATAAAGTAAACAGATGTTTCAAACAGATTAAAGTGCAAAAAAATTATAAAGAACAACAGTTAACACTTTACAATAAGATCTCATTAGTTAACGCATAAACATTAACAATGAGCAATAGCTACATTTGTTACAGACGCTATTATTCTTTGTTAAAGAGAAATACAACTTAGTTCATGTTAGCTTGAGTTCATTAAATAATACAGTTAAAGCTTTTGATTTCAATAACGTGTTATTAAATGTTAAAATTAGCTAAGATTAACAAATGATTTAGAAGAATTTTTCATTGGCAGTTTATGTTAACTAATGTTAACTAATGGGGCCTTAATGTAAAGTGTGACTGAACAATAAAGAATCAAAACATTTTCAAACAATATCTAGGGCATGTTGTAGTCCAGATTAAAAAGTAAAAAAGTTTGAAAATAAATAGCCTATCAAGTCTTTGGTGTTGTATTTGGTGAGCGAATACACAAATCTGAATGGCTGTTTAAAACATTTAAATACTGTTCAGAAACAGAAAGTAGTGCAGCTGCTTTGTTTACGGCTGCATTCCTGCTGTTCCCTCAGCGCCATCTGCTGTCAGAGAGTGAATGTGCGCTTTCATTCAGCGCGTCTCCTGTACTCGTTCCGCAGTGCGCTTCCTTCATCCATGTTGGGCTTGTTTACATCAAGAGTGCGCATGTGTCTTTGACGCAGCATACAGCAGTGTTGTGCATTTTAACCAGTTAATGGGAAAATAATTCTCAAAATGCGTTCAAAAACTCGGAATAATTTAATAAATATTTGTTCACGGTATTTTTAAGTACCCACGATAAAAATATCGTGCATGTTTATTTCGAAGTCCAGTAAAACTAGTGGTAGGCAGAGCGAGGCTTCATGGATCACTGAAACAGTCGAAGCAAATGTGCCGCTTTTTAATTTGACCCGCAATAATTTCATAGCTCATTACCGCACAACTGACGTGTGGATAATAAATTATTAAATTAGCTTACTCCTCATTGAAAATAATTTAAAACATTTATATACTGTATATTACACAATGAATAGGCCTATAAAAGTAGCCTATGTCCGAACACTGTAATAATCAGTCATCAAAATAAGACCTTTATTAGCCTACAAAGACATTTCAAAAACAACTTGTTTAACACAAAATACTTCAATTCTGTTGTTGTTTTCACTACATACATTGCTGCTTGAAAGTTTGTGAACCCTTTAGAATTTTCTCTATTTCTGCATAAATATGACCCAAAGCATTATTAGATTTTCACACAAATCCTGAAAGTAGACGAAGAGAATCCAATCAAACAAAGGAGACACAAATATATACTTTGTCATTTATGTATTGAGAAAAATGATCTGGTAAATATTTGTGAGTGGCAAAAATATGTGTATCTTTGCTTTCAGTATCTGGTGTGACCCCCTTTTGCTGCAATAACTGCAAGCAACGTTTCTTGTAACTGCTGAGCAGTCCTGCACAACGGCTTGTAGGAATTTTAGCCCATTCCTCATAACAGAACCACTTCAACTCTGTGATGTTGGTGGGTTTCTCAACTCTCAACTCTGTGATGTTGGTGGGTTTCCTCCTATGAACTGCTTGCTTCAGGTCCTTCCACAAATTGGATTAAGGTCCGGAATTTGACTCAGCCATTCCAAAACGTTAACTTTGTTCTTCTTTACCCATTCTTTGGTAGAACGACTTGTGTGCTTGGGGTTGTTGTCTTGCTGCATGACCCACTTTCTCTTGAGATACAGTTCTCGGACAGATGTCCTGACATTTTCCTTCAGAATTTGCTGTTATAATTCAGAATTCATTGTTCCATCAATGATGGCAAGCCGTCCTGGACCAGATGCAGCAAAACAGGCCCAAACCATGATACTAACTCCAC